TTTGTCTATGATTAGAATGATCTCACCCTCAATCTTTTGTGCACTATTTAACTCTGGCCCTTTGTAAGTGTTTCCTCCTATTTTCCTCTTATATATATAATGAACAAACCCCCACTTTGTATAGCGAGTTTCTAAAGGTTAGAGTCCCAAGGTAATTGGCAATAAAGTTATTAATGAATACATTATGAGCTACCAATATTTTACATCATTTACATTTATTATTAATCTCTTTTGAAAATTTTAAATAACATAATTCTTTTTTATGTATCATATATTTTCTCCAAAGTAATCAAAATCTACTAATCAACTTTTGCATACATCTTATCTTTTTACAAAGTGTGATGAAAATAGAGCACATAAAGATAAAATGATGGAAGTTAGTTCATTGCAACTTCCATATGGAAATTTGTATCGAATTCATGCCCTTATTTGGGGTTTTGTATGAAGAATTAGATTGCAGTTTTTGGTATTTGCATGTTTGGATTTTCAAGTTTGCTCGCCACACATCTTAGTAGCCTTTGTGGTCAGAAACACTGTTAACAAGGTTAGGAATACAAAAATGCATATTCCTGACACTGCACAGGTGATTTCTCATTATTTCTGTACAATAGATAAACTCATAATAGTGATTTTCGTCATATGATTCTCTGACCAATCACTGTCATGGGTTATTTTAAGCTTTTTTTAATATTGGTCAAAGATTGTATAAATAAACATTGATCATGAGGTCTTTGTATTTTTAGGTGAGATTTTCCTTGATTTCATTTGTATTCGTATTTAATCTTTTTTTGTGGTATTGAAGGTGCTTTAGCTCCATTTTATAGAAGTTAAGGATTACATGCATCTAATTTCACTTTCGTTACTAGCATTAGTGAGGCACGTTATTGAACCATTAGCACTTCTAATGGAGATAACTTACATCAATATATTATGGAAGATAACTCGGTTAATTTAGCAAATTCAACTTTTTTTTTCTTTTCCCTTATTGTGTTTTTTATGCTATAAAGAAAAGTTAATAAATATTTATTATTCACAGGTTTGTACAGTTTGCTTCTGCTTGTGTCTCCATATCAAATTTTAACATTTCTTCAATGCTATTTTTTTTATTCTTCTGGTGAGTGTTGCCACTTCTTTTGTGGCAGAAGATTCTCCTAATAGCTCATCTAACAGTTCAAATGAGGATGTAAAAAAAAAAAAAAATAATCTTTTTTACTGATTTCATGTAAATTTTAAATAATTATATTCATTTTTTTTTCTTTGTGATAATTGGTAAGGAGACAAATCTGAGACCTGAATGGCAATGGGAATGGGAAAGTTCTGATCGTATGCAAGTAATAGCAATATCCTTTCATCTATTTGTATAAATAGCATTCAACACTTATTTCTTTATATTTAGACAGTGTACTATGAAAGTCCACCCATTCGTAACATTATACTTTCAACTTCTTCTGATTCCTGAGTCGTTCTTAAACTCCATTTTTACTATACTCTTAGCCGTCTTATTACAACATTGCACTTTTTTTTCCTTTGTTAGTATATTGTACTTTGAAAAAAAATTATAATATTCTACCTTAATTTTTAAAAATAACCAAATCACCTTTCATTAGGCCGCGGGCATAAACTTGCCTAGTATATATATATATATATATATATATATATATATATATATATATATATAACTTAAAAAAACTATCCAGTGTAAAAATTTTCTAGAGAAACTAAGTTTTATAAAACAAATGACATGTTTGGCAAAACTAGTTAATAACGGTTAGCAAGTAGCGTTTAACAGTTAGCTGATAGCTGGTAGCGTGCTGTAAACGCTACGTGAGGTAGCTTTTGATTTGGAGCGTTTTGTTTAAACTAAACTTAAAAGCATGTAGTATCAAACAAAGTTTTTTGTTCAAAATAAAGTGTTTTGTCAAACACTAGAAGCTAAAAGCTCTAAAACGCTACGTACCAAACATGTTAAAAAAAAGTTTAAAGGAAAGAGAAAATTGCGCGAATCATCCATCGTGCATATACCAAAATACACGTTCAATCTTTAAATTAACTTAAACCATATCTCGTTTTATTTAATTTTGCAAGCTTGATCCCTTAAAAACAATTTTGTTGCATACTAGTTTGTGCCAATTTCTAAATGACCATAATATCCTTATGTTTTTATTTTTAATTAATTTAATGTTTATATTATGATTTTAAATAAATAATAATAATAAATGCCCCCTCCCTTCACTTTCCCCAAACCATCAACCCTTCACTGTTGCCGATCATAGAGGGAAAAAGGAGACAACCGTCGCACCATTACCACCAAGCAACAATCAGTAACAGATTCACCAACCACCACCGTCGACGATTTCAGTGACGAATTGGGATGCGACTGAAGGAATATTGTTGTGGGAAAATCTCGAAGGAAAACGGTGGTGATGTTTGTAAGAAGAAACAGAGTCGTGGGAATCTTCTACAAACACCACGTACTGCAGGATTTTCCAAAACGACCTCCACCTTAATCATCAATTTGGGAGAAACAGCAAGTGATGTCGCTGAATCACCGTGAATTTTAACAAAATTAGGAGCATACTTCACCATACCCGACATCTCTGTATTCACTTTTGTAACATCCGCTGATTCAGCCCCCGTTTCAACTTCTGATGTCGTTGATTTATGATCATTGACAGAGGTAGGTGTTGTTTCTGATGATGATTTCTTGACCCAACTACAACGAATTATGTGGCAGGACTAGGGTTATGATTCTTGAAGCTGTTGAAGGCGATGAAAATTTGAGGTTCTAGCATCCATCGAAATCTTATTTATTCTCCTGTTATTCTTGGGTTCCGATTAGTAGGCTTAGGGTTTAGTTAGCTTTGATTTGAAGGTTTTGGGTTTATTTAGGTTTGATTTCAGAATTCGGGTCATCAATTTTTGGGGTATCATCATATCTTTAGCGAGGAAAATGGATGGGATGGGTTCAGTGGTGGTCGGAGGGGGTAAGGTGAACTTGAAGGAGACGAACCTGGTGGGGAAAGGGAAGGGGAGGGTGGGTGGATTGGTTATTTATTTATTATTTATTTTTTTTTAATTTGAAAATGATAAACAAAATAAAATAAAAATGAAAAATAAATTATTAACGATAAAATAATCATTTTATATCCGTGGATTATGTAAGGATGATCCGAGTTAATTTTAAAAAATAGAGATTAAATGTGTTTTAACTCCTACATTAGAGACGATTCTCTAAAAAAATTATGTCGTAAAAAAGTTGGTGAAAAATATTTAAAAAGTTCGTATCAAATTTGTAAAAGAAAGTGAAATTTGACTAAAATTATAATTAAAAAATAGGCAAAAATTGTAAAAACATTTTATACTAAATTTGTAAAAATAAATCAACATTTAGACTAAAAGCGTAAATAACAAATATTTGAGGGGTAGAGGAGGGATGTCTACTATCTACCAAGGTAATCGAACCCAAGTCTTGCTTTATAATAATAATAAACACAATCTGAAATTTAATATAACTGATGTATTTTTCACTCCATAATTTTTAGTAATACATTATGAGATTAGAACTTTATTTTTGAGGAAAAAAAACCTAGAATGGCCCCCTACATGTATCCTTAATTTTACTCCATATTCAGCCGTAAATACTTGCATATCTTCTATTTCCTTGCATTATAAATACTATTTTGATCGGATTTGGAGGTCTCTTGACTCTCTTTTATCAATTATGTGGTTTTTCCTAATTAGGGTTTTCCACACCAATCTTAAGGTTTTTTTACTTATTATTATTCTCGTTAGATACTAGTAATTTACTTTGATTGGAGGTGTAATTAAATACTATTATTTACATCATTTGAAGATTTAGAATGGTTAGGACTTCACTTTGATTTAGGCTATGTTTGGCGCACTAGCTGAAAAGCTAGATGTTGGTTGAAAAACTACTTGATAGTTGAAAAGCTAACTGTTAAATAAAAAGCTAGCTAATAACTGAAAGGCTAGCTGATAAAAACTAATGTTTGGTAAAACTAACTGAAAGATATAAAATTATAGAAAAAAACATTTAAAAATTGTTTTCCTATAATTAATTAAGGGGTATATTTGGAAAATTCTAAAAAAGCTCCTAAAAAACTAGTCTAAGTAGCTTTTTAAAAAACTAGCTTAAAAGCTACTTTTTTGTTTGCCAAAAAGCTCGAAAAATAAGCTAGTTGTGGCGCACCAAACGTAGCCTTAGTTATACCAATCTTTGGTAAACTTTGCTAATGGCAAAAAGTGTTTATTGTTCTTTATTCATTTGCTTTCTCAACTAGAGAAAAAAAAAATACTAAGGATTTAGCATTTAAAGACTTTGATGGAATTTGGTTTGCAGAATGTTTACAAAAAAATTAAAATCCAAGAAATTGGAATTTGTCACAAATTGTTATCCAATCCTTTGATAGGTTGGCAAGAAATAAACTTAAATCCAATTTCATATTCTATATGGTTGAAATGAAAATGAATTGACATGATATAAAATGACATATTTACCCTCTTATATTTTGCTTAATTATCCTTTGTTTTATAAGTTATATGTTGTTTGTTTTATAAGTTATATGTTCTGGTTAGTAATAGTGGGTGTATTTGTATTGGTTGAAATGAAAACAATTTGACATGATATAAAATGACATAATTGCCCTTTTATTTTTTGCTTAATTTTACTTTGTTTTATAAGTTATATAGTAATAGTGGGTGTAGTGGCTAGTGGCGGTGGTAATGGTTAATGATGGTGGCTATAGGGGCAGTGATTAGTGATGGTGATAGAGGTTAATATGGTAATCTTGCTCTTTCCCTCGTGTACTGAAATTAATTCCATCTAAACTTTGAAAGAAATCGCTTTCATTAATTTGGTGAAAGAAAAAAATTCATTTAGGAATCCTATTCTATCTCAAAAAATTAAACCAAACACCAAAATGTCATGAAATTGGATTCCAATTTCCCCCAATTCCATGCATTGCAGCAAACCAAACAGCCCTTATAGTATGTGTATATTCATATAAAAATCTCAGATACAAAATAAGTACCAAGTTACAAAAAACTTACTTTGTAGCATGAACATTAAAAACTATTTTTCTCACATAAAAGTTGACTGAGGATTTTCTTAGATGCTATTTGCAAACATGATTACTCTAGTCTTGCAGATACAACCACAATTAATTCAAACACAAAAGCATATATCAAACTGAACATAATACAAATTTAGGCCACTACAACCATGGGTTTTTTACTTTTTAACCCTTACATGAGACAGAAATCAAGACCTTAAACATTTAAGTATCACAAACCAAGAAACAGAACATAACACAGAGCATAGAATGATAGAACAAAAAACATGAGAAAAGTCTTAAAGGTTGGTAGAGTTGCCTCCAGTTTGATGCAGCATTGCATCTATCTCATCACCTTCCTCCATTTCCAGCTGTACCACAAAATTATAAAAGATAATGAGGGCATTTTTAATCTTCCAATATGAAGGCATTTTAGGGTTTACAATGAAACTTAATTCTGTCCATGGAATGTAATCTCAAATTCCATCCCCAAACATGAGAGAGAGAGAGAGAGAGAGAGAGGACCTCATCAGGAGTCTGCTCCCCTCGAAGACGACGCCCATCAAACAAGAAAGCAATGGAATTAAGCTCAACAGATTGTCGATCACAGTAAGCATTCATAAGCTTCTTCAGTTGTGTGCTCCTTTTGATTCTGAAGAACACTTCATTTCCATCCTGGAAATACAACAACATGAGTTATCCCTTAAACTTTCAAGCATATTATGATGCCCTCTAAAACATTGATTCATTTCACAGTTGTACCATGATAGAACAGGTCAGAATTAAAGAAAAACATAGTAGAAATTACTATCAACTAAACCCCTATCATGAGTTACTGATGTTTAGAAAAAAAAAAAAAACAACTCCAGAATTTATCATCTAAAACATAAACCAGCAGATAATGCAATATTTGTGAATAATCCCTAGCGTTAACAACGATTATAAGTAGAAAACTAACTGTAAGGTGAAACATAAAAAACTAAACCCTAGAACGCGAAGAAGATATCAACACGAACTTCAGAACACTAGAAATTACTGGCTTCATACTAAGCGAGAAATAATAATCATCTAACCAGATAAAAACGCGAAGATTAGAGAGAATAAAATACATCGAATTCGATGATGGAAAAAAATTTAACAAAAGGAGAGAAATGTAACCTGGCCTTTGACTTTCAAATTGATGTGAGCTCCTTGATCACCAGTCCCAGGCTTCTTGTCTTCATCGTTGTTGACTCCTGACATGTTTTCCGGCAAATCGATAAACGGAGTATGGAACGGAAACGCTGCTTCGATTGGCGACGCTTCAAACTCTGCCTCAACTATACGCCTTCTTTGTCGCTCACAACTCACAAGTAGAATAGAAAGGGAGAGGTTAATGTTCTCAAGAGACGATCTGACGGTCGATATTTGCCGATGGAAAATGAATCAAGATATTGCTTTTAGCCTCCTATAATTTTTGGAAAATGACATAAAGGGCCATGAAGGAACAATGACCAATGCGGGGAAAGTGCAAAGCTACAAATTGCACAAAATAGGAAAATTAATTTTGTCTAATGTCTATTTTAGTGCATTTATCTTTTTTTTAATGAAAATAACATTTTATATAGGAATTTCAAACAAACAACGGTTAAATCAATTAGAGTTAATATGGTAATATTCTGTGTTGTTTGGTTCGCAAAATCTTGCTGAAACAATTTGAATTCGAATTGAAAAATAAATCTGTCAGGAATTTGAATCCATTTCCATATGCTATTTGGTTGGCATGAAATTGAATTTGAATTAATTTCAGATTTTGTTTGGTTCGCAGTAAATAAAATTGTAATTCATGTAAAATAACATAATTACCCTTTTTGTCTTTTTTGCTTAATTTTACCTTGTTTTCTAACTTATATGTAAAGATATATTATGAAAATTACAGAAATAGTAAAATTCCGGCAGTGGTGGAAATGGTGGTGGGGGCAGTAGCGGTGGTGGGTGGTGGTGATCGTGATGGTGATGGTGGCCTTGATCGTGGTAACGGAAGTAATGGTGATGGCGACAGTGGCATTTGGTGGCGACATCAACGGCGGTGACGATGCTAGTGGTGGCAATGGCGGCTGGTGGTGGTGGTCGTAGCAAGGATGGTGGCAGCATTTGTAAAACCCCGTTCATTTATTAAATAAATAAATAAAATAATGAGCGAATAGTAGCCCTAAAATAAATAATTATATATCAAATGATGGTCTTATAGAGCTAATTGTCACACTTTAAGAGATTTGGGGTTAAAAGTGTAAAATCCAGACTTATTAAGAAAGAAATTTATGTATTAAGGGTTTGAATGGTAAATATTAGCTATGCTTTGAAAGAAAATATGAAGGGAGGGACTATTATTGTCAATATGGGAAACATTTAGATGGAGCGGGTATATATGTCGCAGCAAACCCTAAACCCTTCATCTTTCAGCCGCCTCCATTCATCCTCTTCATCTTCAACCTGCGACAGCCGTCCTTTTTTCCCCCCACCCGATCCGTTCTCCGACAAGCTAGCGGCCACCAAGCAATTACCCGGCCTCCTGCCCTGCCGACCGATCGAGACTCTATCTCGCTATCGCCATCAGTTGACCCCGTTGTCACTAGTGCTAGTCATCAGCCTCATAGCCGCCATCGGAGTCGGATTAAACCGCCGTTGCGTTCTAGCGGCCGACGAAGAAAAGGATGCTGCTCCGACGTGATTCAGTTATCGAGATCGCAACCCTAGCCACCACCCCGCTGTTAGGGGCTGTTGAAGACGATGATACGCCTACCTTCCTCATGGCCACCTTTCACCGCCGCCATGATGAACGTTGCTGATGCTGCTGCCCTTCGACGACGAGCATTGCTCCTTCTTTGCCACCATAGAGCCGCTGTTACGCCACTGTCATCGCCACTCACCTTAGGTGGGTGGTTGGGTTCGTTTTACTAGAAGAAAAATTGAGGGTGTGTGCTCCCAGCCGCGTGTGTGTTGTGTGTGGTTTATCTTGGACGGAATTCTAAGTACAAGGCATCACCACCACCGTGGGGTAGTGGCTGCCACCATGCACCACCGTGTTTAGTGTGTGTTAGTAGGTGTGTGTGTTTACTTGAGATTTAGCCTTGTAAAATGTAATTGGAAATGGAATAATGAGAAAGGAACTAAAAACCACCACCATGAGGTGATGGCTGCCGCCACCGACCGCCATGTCGGGTGGCGGTGCACTTTGCCTCTTGTGATAGATTCGTTTGGGGTGCTAGAAACCCTAATGGGCTCAAAGGTGCTCTAATGGGCCTAATGAAGCTTAATGGACTCTAATGGACCCAATAAAACCCATATGGGCTTAATAAGATTTTAGTGGGCTTATTAGGCCCAATAAAGCCCTAATTGTCATAAAAGGCCAACAAATTGATAAATGGGCTAATATTTGGATTGGAACACCCTAATGCCAATTAAACCCTAATTTTGAGAATTAATCGGGACACACAAGGATTATTTAATAACTTGAGATATTAAATAATAAACTTTGGCAAAGATTAATCTAAGAGATAATGGATTTAATGGATTAAGTCCTTAATGGATTAATTCCTTAATGGGTTAAGTAGGAAACTTAACCCTAATTGGCATTTTATGTGAAACCCTAACTTCACTTGGGTTTATTGTTGGGCCTTTCTATTGGGCCTTGATAATTGGATTATTAATGGGCCATCCAAGAATAATTATATGGACTAAAATAATTTAATGGACCTAGGGTAAGTCCCATGTAAGGGGTTGGGCCCAATTTGGAAAATTAGGCCATAAATGGGCTATAGCTTGGGCCTTAATGATTATATGATATTGGACCATTAGACTGTCAAAGGTTAGACTGGACTTTTGGTTGGGCCTTAGAATGAGATCATGTATAGGCTTAGGCGACATTTGGAAAATTGGACCATGCGTTGGGCTTTGATTCCTAGTCGACTTTGGGCCTATGGATTGGGCCTTGGGCTTGAATAAGCCAAGCTAGGGGTAATGTAGTAATTACCCAAAGAATGTACTTATGGTTATGTATTGGGACCCAATTATTAATTGGGTATTATTTTGGTGTTGACAGTTCGGGAATCTGTCAGCCAGCAGCTGGGGTCGAGTCTGCGGGACTTCAGCAAGTGTGGGATTGTGTCTTCGGGACTTCAGCAGTGTGAGGTGAGTTACCTTCCAGTAGCGGTGGGTCTAAGGCCACAATGCCGGCCCACCAGTAGGAGATGTATGATAGATGATTGTCTTTGTGATATCATCTAGGTTTGCTACTACCTGATATGTTATATGCTAGCATGATATGTTGTATGTGATAGTAGTAGAGTTCGGTTGTTAGGACCGAAGGGTAGTTAGACACCCCAGATACGTCTGACAGTATGTGATGATATGTTGCATGCTGGCTTGTTATGTTTATGTGATAGAGGTAGTAGGAGGGGACTAGTCCCCGAGGTTCGGTTGTTAGGACCGAAGGGTAGTTCAGACATCCCAGATATGTCTGATAATATGTTTATGTTATGTTATATGTGATAGTAGTAGTAGGGGTGACATAGTCCCCGAGGTTCGGTTGTTAGGACCGAAGGGTAGTCAGCGCCCCAGAATGGCTGGACATGGGTAGTCAGCACCCCATAATGGCTTGACGTGGGTAGTCAGCACCCCAAAATGGCTTGACACGGGTAGATCGGCACCCCAGAAAGGTCGTACCGGGTAGGTCGGGCACCCCAGAAATGCCTGACAATATATGTATGTTATGTGATTATATGGTATGTGGTATGATGGGGGAACTCACTAAGCTTCGTGCTTACGGTTTTCAGTTTTGGTTTCAGGTACTTCGTGTTTAAAGGAAAGGAGTCGGCTTGATCGCAGCGGATCACACTATGGTTTTCCGCACATGAGATCTTTGGGATTACACTCTGATATTGTTTTATGATAACATGTTTAATTATTTCTACTTTGGTTTTGACATGACATGACATTACAAATGTTTTATTACACTGTTGGTTTTATAATGATGTATTTAAAAGTAAAATTTTTGGCCTGTATTTTTGGGATGTTACAAGTTGGTATCAAAGCTTTGGTTTGAGGGATTCAGACATACTCTCGAGTGTGTCTGAACTCAAACTAATGGCTTGGTATGAAAATTTTCAAAAGTAAAACCAGTTTATAAAAATGAGTTTGAAAAGAATCTGAAAAGAGAAAGGAACTTTGAGAAGAACAAAGTTTGTGATGCGTGCAATCAGCCGAGCTCAAGTAAGTTTCCCCAAGATACCCCATACCTGTTATGATATGTTATGTTATGATATGATTATGAGAATTGCATGTTAGCTTAGGGCTAAGGATCTAGGAGGATGCCTTATATGCCTATTGTATGTGATTGTAGACTTGCATGCTAGTACTGATCAATCAGTGATAGGATAGCCTGTTTAGGTTATGCCTGATTGTATGAGCCTTTAAATTGAATGTACATATTCCTAATTAGAGGATAGAATGATCTTATTGGAATATGATGGTTAGATTTCCCATTGTCTGAATGTTGCTTGCTCTGTGCTTTGTGGGACTCTTAGTAATGTGAGTTAACTATTAAGTGAATATGCTAGGTCACATGGGACACAGGCTGGATAATCTGAGAGTGTGAGACTTGATCCTATTGCGCAGCTCTTGTCTGAGTCCAACCGTTCTAGGGATGGGTCTTTTACTCGAAGGATGATTTGATCTCTATTGCATGTGGCTATATTCATGAGGTAGCTAGTTGACATTACTGGGAATCTTTCAGCAACTGAGGACTGGGTGAGTTCGGGAACCTAAGGAAGCCTAGGATATATTTCAGTGAGTTAGTAGTGAGGCTCAGTTAGACTTGGGTGTACCAATTGAGGAAGTAACTCGGAGGATCCGGGGAGGATTGCTAAGGAAAGTATGGATAGGTGTGGAAGGTAGTATTGGGCCCGTACTACTGAAAGCACAAGATCCATACTCGAATCAGTGAGAGTCTTGGACAATCTAAGAAGCTTCAGGGAAGATTTTGTGACCCAATTTGGGGACAGAGGATGTTCCAGTTGTTGCAGCTTAGCCATTGGCAAGCGAGCTAGTGCGCGTGACAGGGTGTCAGACTCTGAAGGATATGATTTCCAAGAGTTGCAGATACGAGATTGATTTGGAGAACCTTGGAAAGAGAGGTGTGCCAGGTGCGTATAGTAGAGGGTCCCGGGAAGAGACCCATGAATTTTGAACATCAGGTGAGAGGCCAGTAGGGTCTGAGTCGGTGCAGCGCGTACGAGAAGGTACACAAGGGAGTTTGTCACTCCAAGGGTTTAGGCTGCTACAGGGTAGCAGGATTGGTCATATCAGCAGAAGGTGACCAGTATTTCCCTAGACGTTGCGAGTATGTCATCTTCTATTGCTACTAGATGGATGTTGGGGGATGTGTATCGCGTTGGAATTGTGAGTGACTTTGGATAAGTCAGACCTCAGGTCGGTTTTTCTGCTAGTGTTTGGGTTATCAGGGATCATATATGCCATCCAGCATGCCGAAAGGTCCTTGATGGATCCAAAGAGGGATGCGTCTTGTAGAGTGGGTTTCACGCATGCCGTTATCATTCTGGATCTTTTTCGGGATCTATGCAGGAGTATTATTTAGAGGATACTGGATCAGGGTTGGAGTGATTGTTCTCCAATGAAGTCAGCGTTCAGAGGTTCTATCATTGTTCAGGTATGGTCGGTAATTGTTTATGGATGAACTTTGGAGTTCAAGGCACTACCGTTGCTAGGACGGAACTGGTGACAGGAAGAGGGTAGTGTCAGTCGCAGGTGTTAGATGCATAAGTGGTTGGTCACTGGATGTTCAAGAGAATAGTGTTTTCGCATGGGCTGTGTTCGATTAGAGTTTAGTGGTACTGCAAGATTGGCAGTGGAAACGAGGATTCGTCAGCTAGAGTGAAGATTAAGGTCTTCAATTGATAGCATGTTAAATGGATTGAGGTGTCAGACTGGATCAGATTTCAAGAGTACTCATCGAGACTTTTGAGGATGGGAGATCTCAAGGTTTAATCA